ATGTTTCTGGGCAAATATAAGTCGGTATTTTATTCGATGCTATCAAAATTAATCATTTCATTTGCGATTGATTTCCTAGAGTATTTTAGTTGATGATGTTAAGATGGTCAAATACGGTCTGTTTTTTCTCCACCGAAAAGGGCTACCCGACAAGGGTTTGGTGTCGTATATTCAGCTGATTCTCTGGCGTATTTCAACCAATGACAGTGATTAGGGAAAGAGATACAATTGACTAATTTGCAGGAATGATGATACTCCAAGTTCCTGCTTATGTTTAGTTGAGTGTTGAGGCTGAGTGCTACATTTCAACATCACAAGTCAGAGCTTCCGGGGAATCATCGGCTTCGCGTCCGCATCACAACCACATTCACATAAAGCACGTTGTTGTGGTATCAGCTACATCGGTAGGGGAGTTTGGAAGTCGGAAGCATCAAAGCTGGAGTGAAGGCCCTCACAATACGATCCAAGATTCTTTGATACTCGAGCATCTTCCCACCGGCTCCGTCCGGCGATCTAAGCTGTGATTATCGCTATGTCTCTTTGGGTAAAAGCTTCCTTTATGCTATGTGTTTCCATCAATTATATCATCCAGCCATCTCCTTGATCCAACCATGTAGGCAGTCGATTTAAATAGGAATCCTCCAGAATATCATGGTTAATGGATTATGTATTCCACTGTTAATCAACAGGCGTCTACAAGAATCACCTTCGCAGATCTCATTTATGGTAGAACCGAGATTGGGGATAGCACGAGTGTTCCAGCAGGGTCAAAATCACAAACAGCGAATGCAGAGAGTGCAGTGTGTTATGAATTGTAATCCTTTGGGCAAGTTTTGGGTGGTGTTTTTGTAAATGCGTATTGTATTTATAGCTGAACTGGGAATTGAGTATGGACAAAATCTGAAGTCTAATGAGCGATAGATACCCGCAAGCTATTATGCTCCATATGCTCTTCTTTTCCTTCTTTGTATTTATATAGACCAAACACAATCACACTTTGAGGGCACCGTATCTCTAGTATAATGATAGCGCTGTTGTGTCAAACTTGACTTGTGGTGCGTGCCTATATGTTCGAGAGGAAAGTCTCAACAGTATAGGCAAGACATTGACACTGTGTAATTAATATAGAAATTAGAAAGAGCCAGTGATTTCCAGTACCTATTAACATATCTCTGCTAGCATATCAACTGCGCGGAACAGGTACATAGATAGATATGTTGCGGTATGCAAAAATATTCATCTGTCAACCACCTAAATATCTATCATTCCTACACATACATCAACTCTACTATATAAACCCACTTAAGCAACTTCGCTCATCCAGATCGCAAAGGCGACAAACAGTCCTGTTTGTTCAGGTCAAATGCGGTCTGGTGGTGGAGTGGTACATACGCCTGGTTCGAATCGGAAAAAAATCCCGTCGCGGGGTTTCTCCTCCCGTCCCTCTCATGGGACGGCAAGGTTTTGCCAGTTGAAAAACGTTGCTGCTTGTTTTTTGGTTATGGATTTTTTGAATGCGCATGGAAGGAGGAAGTAGGTGGGTTGTGTTAGGACTTATGTTTTTGGAGGAGAGGCGGCAGTGAATTGAGTAAAAAGCGCGTCGCCAAAGCGGCGAGACGTGATATTCAACAGTATTCCTACCTGAATATCAAAATTTCAATGCGACAGCTCAGCCCAGATATTCATGCTTGGATCGTGACTTTTTGCTTCTGTTGACAAGTATCTCGTAAGTCTGATTGCCTATATGTTTAGGAACACCTCTTCACGCTGTGTGATTCATAATGACCGCCGGTGGCCTTTTTGTTCAATGACAAGACAGCCGGCCATAGCTCACATGGTTATCCCACTCGCGTCTCCAATAACCATGTCGGCCTGACACGTATTGTTGGCTAACGATACTGTACTCCCGAAGCTCTTCACCAATCAAAAATCAGTATTCTCGCAGCGACATGAACGACAGCACCATGTGGTCTAGTTTTTTTCGTAAGCAATACGATTCAATGGCGCCTGACAAGCTGGAGATAAGCGGCATTCAAAGACCGTGCTGCCGGAACCCAATCGTTCTTTACCTACCTAGGTACACGATATAGCGTTCTTTGGTTCATGGAAGGTAGAAGTACTGGTGTCAGAGAATGTAACTCTGCGTTACCTTCATAATGATATCAACTGAATATCTTAAAATGGATGTTCAAGAATACTCTGAAGAGCTTAAAAATCCGGAGACAGGTTTCTGAGTAAGAAAACCCCAAGCCCAAGAAGTTGAGAGATGGCTGATATGCATAAAAAAACGTCGATCATTGGCGAATCAAAAGATCCAGCATGATGTTGGTTTCCTTAATAGAGCATGTTTGCGAGCTTGACTTATCGCAAAGTATGAGTATATGCCGATGGCGCAGGAGCTCCAAGAAACACTGCTTCCCGCTGTATCAAGAGATGTCAGGAACGACCGGACTTCCGATGCCTGGATAACTGTTTATATGAAACCACAGTGTTTATTCGCCCGATTGACAAAGCGTCATTCTTGAAATACAAGAGAAAGATGCGAAGTCAATAAATCACACTTCCTGTTCGGCGTCTGGTAAGATGCTGATGCATACGCATAAGCAAAAGGGCGGGAAATATTAAGCCACCCTCAGATGGTGGCCACGTTTTAATGCAAAGAAAATCCACAACGCACAAATTTTCCAGCCATCAATGCATCTTCGATGTGTGGTCGATCTTTTGCCGCTTAAGTCACTTCGTCAGATCTTTGAGATACTGGAAATCACAATTTGTGATGCCTAGACGAATGAATATACAGTAGTATGTTTTATGTCAAAATGAACATATCAGAAAGTATTTCGACATTTGAAGAAGTAGTTGTCCGTCCCCACATGTTGGTTTCTATTGGCCAAACCGGACACAAACACCGATTTGTTGTGTTATCGATGGTCTCGGGGAAATGTTGGGGAAGTCATTGTACGAGATAAACGGTGTACGTTGGAGGGCCATTAAATTACTTGGACCGGGTCGTGGTAGTTGCACACCTTAGATAGTTTGGATGCCCGAGCTCCAATGTTGCTCCGGAAGTCAGGGATAGAAGCTTAAGAGTTGACAACAAGTTTGAGTTCGAAGTGCAATTTGGGAAAACGATCGAGAAATTATCAATCCGAGGGACAGAAGAGAATTATATGTCTGCCGAGCCTTCCGTTTAGGATCTGAACGCGGGAGGAACTGCAACTCGAGAAACAAAAGTTGAACGATTACGAAGTACATGTATAATCCTATGGGTTGACGAGGGAAAAGATCGGCTTGAGGCTCAGTGACTTCGAAGCGCCCGAATGGGGCCGATGGCGTATTACCCTGATTACCCTAAGCCCTTCATGGATGGTACCTTTTTGTACCTTGTATATCAGATGAAATTTCGGGAAATTGTTACTACCGAGGCAAAGGAATACATCAAGAGAGAAAGGTACACTCCGTATATGTTTTAGATTGATTTGGCATTCCAAAGAATGCGTATTTGCTATCTACTGCACGTCAATCCCCTTTCAGCAAAACAATTTCAATCCCCCTGAGGGCAATTTCAACGAAAGCAATGTAATATCTATTGGGCAAGTGTTGTTCGTGTTAGGACGTATCAGATGATTCAGACCAGATCATCCATAACAAAGTTACCAACCATCGTCTAATCAATCAATTCGGTTATCGGTTACCCACTCGGAAGAAGCGAATGTGATAAAACACATTATCGTACAGTAGCTAATGAGCTTTTAGATGTCAAAACTCAATAGTATTCTCATATCATCAAATTTCAACTTATCCCACTCTTTATCTGAAGGGTTCTCATTCTCACCTCCACTGATTCCACTTAATCAATAGGGTTTTGTTTTTCTATTTCGCTGATCCGGTCTGGTGGAATCATTCTGCATCGGCTGGCTGTCATTTGACGCAGGGGATAAGGTAGTCACCCTACTCTGACATCCAGCCAAACATTCTGGCTCTTTTCTATGCACAGGCTGTCAGCTCTATGGCACCCACGAGCAAAATTGCCGGAAAGTAGGACATGGTAGGTCAGGTACGGAAGCCCAGTACGAAGATGCAGGGGTAGGGCGGAGGTGTCACCTCAATCTCTCAATCTCTCCCACACCATTTCCTATCTCATATATTGACATACACAAACCTTGCCAATTTCTGAAGGATGTCCGTACTCAAAATGTCAGGGTGCACAAAACCAACAAATGGAAAATGGAAACGAAGTCAACACACCATGGATTTCTGGTATTACCTGCATCGGGGTGCATATTTGCCTGTGATAATGGATAAAATGCCGATCACAAATTCATTTTATCCCAAACAATCTAGAAACATCTAATAGAAAAGATTATGCAGGAAGTTTAACAAGAGAAGTGTGTGGATGTGTGGATGGGAGAGCAGGCAGGACAACAAGCAGATCGTGGAAGCGCTTTCAAAAGGACTTTTCCAAGGTTCTATTCCTCTAAAAAAAGATTTCTCATTGATCTATCTTGCACAGTGGAGATATAGGTATAAGCTATTACCTAGGTATGTGAGATTTTACGATATGAGTTCATCATGCTTCACTTAATGCCTGAATCAAAATGCTTACCTTTTCGTGTTTTGTTCATTTGCTGGCTTTGTTGGCGTGGTCTCGTTCGCTCTCCACGTTACAGGGAGCAGATATCACTATAACCAATAACCAATAGGGGTCAGCATGAAAGCTCACGCTGTGCCGTTTCAGTGTGGACATATGCACTTTGGAAATTTAACCGTAGTTCTTTTCTGTGCGACATTACAATTTACCTTACCTCACTTACCTTGCCATTCATCTACTGCAATATTATCTATCGATCGCTCTTAACCGTTTCGTATACAACCTCATACATCTCTTGTGCTCGCAACTTCATGCCGATCCAATTGTTTTCGATCAAAACTTTGAGCTGCAAGCAAATATCCATCCATCCATAAAATTCAACATCAAGACGGTCTACATATATGTAATAATGTCTGTGAGACGGACGAGATCGGTATCTAAGTGGAAAGAAGTCCTAGGCTTCGACGAGGGGTTCTACCCCACATCCGAAACTCCTCCTCCATATCATCGCTATGAATCCCCCGAATCCATCTATGAATCAGTAGGGTCTATCAGTCCTACTGTATCCTACTATCATGAGACGCTCGAAGAACTCACACCCAAATTTCAATATCACGACGCACCAGAAGTCGTAAATTACAGTTATAACGATGCGCCCGAGGTGGTAGAAACTCCTCTCGATTATACCTATTCAGATGCTCCGGAAGCAGTGATAGAACCTTCAGATGCCTTGAAGGCAGTTATAAAATCTTCAGATGCTCCGGAAGCAGTTATTCGATCCCCCACTTCATCTAACTTTTCACAAACCCCCATATCAGCGATAACGTCGAGATTTAATACCACTACTCAATCGACGCATGCACCGAGCAATACTGCATCTTATACCCCTATCAATCCTTCTAGTTCCGGAATCAGATTTCCACGAGATTTAACCTTTACGAGAAATTCGATATACGATATTCTTCTCTCGCCATCGTCAGCACAGCCAGTGAGCAATGGTCATAAACCTTCCTCCTCACCACCACCACTCTTCTACATAACGATTCATCAATCCACACCACAGAGTGTCCCAGCCCTACCACCTCCCAGTAATCCCAATAAACCGGATATAGCGCTCCATTCCACCGCCTCACCCAATTCACCCCTCCTCGCTTTTGCAAGCTTCAACACCGTCACCCTCATAACAGATATAACCACTCTCCCACCACCCACGCGCCCACTCTCTCCCCTCACACCCCCCTCATCCTCCTCTCACCCCTCAAAATCCATCGTTCCACCCCCAACAACCTACAATCTTCCTACCTCCCCCAGCGACTCCCTCACATTTGGCGTCCGATCCCAAGGTTACAAGACCGAAAAACTAGTTCCTACCGGTGGAATCTTCACCGCCGAGCGCTACGCCTTCTACCACACTCTTCCTCGTACTTTCGTGAAAGAGAAATTCGAATGGCGCCAAGTCTCCTCATCTTCCTCCGCTCCACATGTTGGACTTGCTTCCGTGCCCGAGGAAATGACTAGCAAGAAGGGCGGGGTAAAAATGAAGCTAATGCGCTGTTCTACTGGCGAGACGATAGCTGTGTATGTCGGAGTTGGGAATGAAGATTGGGCTGACAAGGAACGGAAAAGGAGGCCAAGGAAGGAGAGGGGAAAGGTGTTAGGGATGATGAGGTGGTTAGAGCTTGAGAGTGGGAGTGCCGGGCTGGGAGATGAATTTGAGTTGATGGGGGTAATGAGCGTGTTGGGGGTCATGGAAAGATGGAGGAGGGTGATGAACGTGCAGAAACAGTTGGGAATGTTTACTTCGTGAGATCAGGGGGCGAAAACGCCATATCTCATGATAAAATGAAGATCGATGAAGACGAAGAGGAGAATTTGCAGATGCAGATGCAGCAAAAATTGTACATGAGATTGAAGAACATTTAAGACCTTCCGCGGTGGATTTGGCATGTATTTAGCAGGTTATTTTACATTCTGATGTATGTTATGTATGTTATACTTAGTACGTTGTATATGTTACAGTATTTTTTGAAATATTCAAAAAAAAGAAAGAGTATGGATGAGCAACAAATGAAGAAACGTTTTCCAAACCACAAACTCCAAAGCATGTCAACATCATCGAGAAAGAATCCTTTAGCTCCATCTCTGCCCCTCCGCCAAATACTCCCAATCTCTCTGACCCATCCACCGAAACCCAAGCAATCCCCAAGCTCCAAGCTCCAAGCTCCCCTTATCTACCAATCTAACATCGACCAACACCCCAAGCTCATAGCTCCTCCACTTTCCTACCTACTTCCCCACTCGATCAATATTATCCATTCAACCCGGACCATTTCCAAGCTATCAAACCTCGTTCATTTATAAACCAACCATCCTATGCTGCATACCCGCATACCTCATTTTCCATATACCACTTCCCAGTGTGCCAAAATTATCCTTGATCCATCCCTGTGTCCATCTCATTATATCCAATACCCAATGCGCTTCCTATGCCGAACTCCGGGCGCGGCGATGCCTTTCTACTTACTAAGAGAACACTTACTGAGGAAACCAGGATTTTATACTCAAGGATTTATGAAAAGGTTGTCAAATTCGGTGAGTGCATGGACTGACGGTACACTTCTCAAGTTTCAAAATTTGTGACAATGCCATTGTCTGAATCATTTATTTCATTATTCAATCTTCAAGAAGTCAAAATAACAGTGTTCAAGATATTTGAACTGATGTTACAAGAGATATTGCCAAGCCAATATTCGCACTGTCCCGTCAGTCCATACACCTACTGGTAATCTATCTACCTCTATATCGTACACCAAACAAGCCCAATTCCCGAACCTTTTAATTCCAAAGATTTACTAATGTACAATCAATTAGATTTAAATATTGGATTATTTCAGTAGAAATCCTGCAGTAAGCTCTTCTCATCTTTTGCATCATTTTCATCACTCACTAAAGAGCTTTCACCGGATTCTAACGATGGGCCCCCTTCAACGTAAGCCCTAGCATCCTGATCAGTTGGCCATGCCCAGCCCTCAGCGCTTTCCACTAATATGCGTGATTCTTCTTCATAGGATGTCCCATTGCAAAAGACCTTTGCAGCTATTAAAGTTCTTTTCAAGAGCTCGTGACCATTGCGACTCCACTGAGCCTCAGTAATCAAACGCTCGTGATGAAGTACCATCCACTCTATTACACCTTTGATGCCCTCGAAATCCTCTGCTATTCCTAGAACACGTACGTAGGCATGTAGAACAGCGCCGTGTAGTTTGCTATGTAAATCGTGAGCAAAGGTCGGAAGTCCAATATCGAAACTTGTCGAAGATAACTTTGCAAATTCATCTTTCACAAGTAGAACATCGTCCGCGAACGGCAAATTTTGGTCCATTCGGGATGACGCAACCATTGCCTTTTCCAATCCTCGACAAATAAACTGAAAGCCGTTTGGCTCAAGCTCAAGCCCCGCGTCATGAAAGTCCTGCAGTACAGCAGCAGAGATTCTCCAGGAATTAATATCATCTTGCGGGTCACCGATTATATTGGGGTCAATTGTGATGCCAGGCCTAGCAAGTGCATTGAAGACCGCATACCATGTAGGCTTATATCTTGTCTGGCTGGTTCGTATGAGCTCCAGTGCGTGAGACAGCGGATTAATACCAGACTTTCTAGATCTAGGCAGCGTCCGCGGCATCGTCTCATTTGCGTTGATATCGTTGATGACATCTGGGAAATTTTCATGAAGCCCTTTCAGATCTTTGAACACTGATATTTCGGAGTATGAAGAAGCCTGTGGGATAAGTTTATCCGTACACCTGCAAAGTAAGGTGACGAATGCATGAACGATGCGAATTTCCGCAGATGTCATTTTTGCTGGTGGATTGGCGTTTTGGCCAACGATATACTTCAAGAAAGTACGTCGCTGCCCACTTTCGCGAATATACTTTATACCATCAGGTATTCCCCTGGCATGACTAATAAGGAAATTTAGACAGTCGCTTTGTGGCCGTACCCCAGTTGACATCATGGTTTCATACAAGAAATCAATGGATGGTGGCGGTCGAAGCTCCTCTTTGTAGTAATCGCTGAAGTTGTCGACGGACGGTGGAAGAACTTCTTTCCCCTCGCCAGGTGTAACATCTATCATTCGAGAACGACCGGCTCTCCTATTTTCAGCTTCAACTTTCTCCATCATAGCATGATAAATGGAAGAGGTGGGTGTGCCACCTAGATGCTGGAAACTCTTGAATGCGCTCCAAGCTTCCTGTACATCACGCGTCGCTGTGATCCTTGAACTCCAGACCCGGTGGTGCAGAGGACTCGATCTTACCAAAGAGCGCAACTTTCTGATACGACCTTTGGACAAAGACCTGGTATGGATTGTTGGTGTCCCATCATCTTCTTGTCCCCCAAGAATACCATGAGCATGAGTGCTAATATTCGAACTGTATCCGGCTTGCTTCATTTGCCTTATTGCAAAGACAACCCTACTCAGATCTTCATCTGGCCATCTCCGGGCATCCATACCATCTTGGTCTATCCTCCAGGGAGGCCAACTTCTCGCCTGGAGCTTAGCTAATCTGGATTCATCATCGGTCTTTTGCAATGCAAGTAGTACAACTTGTACGGCATGGTAACCGCCCCTGTCAATGATCAAAGGCGGCTTGGTCTGATTCGCTAAACGCAATAGGACTCTTTGCGCATGCCAATTATGGATCATGGATTTAAATGGAACAAATTGTGATGGTCGAGAAAGGGCGTGAAGTAGTTTATTGAGCAAATGAGAGCATCGGCTATGTGCTTGTGGCTCTAACGGCTCCATTGTAGACCCACCATGTAAATTATGGAACAAATATGGAGGAACCATATGGGATATGGGGAGGACAGCAGAGGGTAGTAAATGCCGTGCATGATAGAGGAGGCGGGAGATAAGAAGTGTGAAAGTGGTTAATTCCATGTCAGGCGAAGAGAATAACATTAATTCCTCTGTCTCTTCCTCAATGGTAGACTCGGAAAATGCAGGCCAAGAGTCTCCTGTGCGTTGTTGGGGATTTGGTGAGAAAACTCGGGTCCAAGTATAATTTAGAAGTGATCTAAAAGTTTCCACGTGCAATATTTCTTTACGGAGAATTTCCAATAATAAAAATGTTGGCTTCTTTGACGGTGAAGAAAGGAATCGTTGTGCCTTTTCATCTGTATCTTTTCCTTGAATGATGTAGGCCCATACGACTAGATCATCTATACTGAAGCCTCGCTTACGCAAGGCAAGGCTCATATCTGTAGTCAAAGGGTAGCCCTACGTTACCTCAAAATTAGCAATGTCAAGCTAGAGGATTTTGATAGAAATACCCGAATATGCTGCAATAGGATCGTTGGCAAAGCTGATTCCGACACTTTAGATCTAGATTCCTCTGATCTAAAGTGTTGCCAAAGTGCTTCCCGAGCATCGTCATCTGGCAAATCTAGCCACTTCCCAAGAAAATTAAGACTCGAAAGTCGTCGTGCTTTTTTAAGCCTGTTGCTCAACCTTGGCAGTCCAATTTCCATGGACCGTAGAGGGATTGGCGAATGGTTGATCACGCTAGAAGCGAGTCCGTTGGAGGGGCTCCTATCTTCATCAAATCCCTCCGGATTGGACGTGTCATCGTTGCTGGATTTGAGAAGCTCTATGGGACTTCGTTCAATGGAGCGTTTAATATCCAGATATCTCATTTGCGAACTCTTCCGATTTTTGACATGATCCCAAAAATCCTGCGAAGGGTTTTCCTCACTGAACTCATCCGAATTCGAAGTGGTCGAGTTCTGTCTAGTTGATAGTGGCCGGAGCAAGTAACTTTGGCTTCTATGAACATGTCTTATTTCTGTGGGGAGCTGTACGCAAGATATATTAGAAATCATTGAATTTTTGAGTAGTTGAGTGGAAATGTTCTTATGCTTACTCGAAAGAATGACACAATGGATAGGATCCTGGCATGACGCCATGAGGAGGCATTGCCAGATTTCGAAGAATGGAGGCACGATTGCATCCGTTCATGTTGTACTGTATAAGATCTCTGTCTAGACAGTATCAAAATGCAAATCTACCTTGCATTACTGTATTTCTAGGTAAATGATGTGGGTAGGATATCAGATATTGTATTGTACAGAAAGTTTATCTCCTTGAACGAAACAAGTAACCAATGTGCGGAGATAGACTCAAAGAAGTAGAGGTATATAAACCTTGTAAGAATGAGAAGACAGCAAGAATTGTTGCTTCATAAGTGAAGTGATAGACAATTATGATAGCTAAATCCATATCAAGGTCAAAATTATTTTTATGAATGACTAATCAAGGCGTCTCACATGATCTAGCGACCATTAGCCACAGTTGCCTATTTTAGATTAGCGTATAGTGGCTCAAGTCTACTTTTGTATGGTATCGTTCTGTTATGCGCTTAATTTGTCTCATGTCCGTGCCTTTGGTCCTTTGGTCTGCCATTTTTGCCATCCTACCAATCTGCCTCGTCTTTCTATTAGAGCCTCGCAACCAATATTGAGGAACGAGGAAATAATAACATCATATACCGGTACATCTCCTACACTTTCGACCCTTTCTTGCAATATTTACAACCAAATTTTCTTTGAAGAGAAAGCGACACAAATATCACGACTACATTAATTTTGACTCAAATTTTGCGCATGGAAAATCACATATGAAGTATTTTTGAATGAAGACTTCAATGACTTTGCAGCGCTGAATTTTGGTTTTCCTTTCTACCCCCCAAAGGTCTCCAACTACATACCTACCCGTACAATCTTACCTTACCCTTACCCAAAAAAAAGCGTCTCCTTCATCGGTAACACACATACCATCTGCGATCGCGACGCGAAAAAAAGGAATCCCCAAAAAATCTTTGGACCGCGAGACTACGTGATGGCCTCGACCAACGGGATTCTCAGTCCCCCCACTCAACCGCATTTAGATATTACACTACCAGCAAAACGCAAACGCGACGATAACATCGATCAGCCAGCTCTTACAAATGGCACCAGCAACGAATCCAAAATCGCAATTACAAAAGAACCATCGACGATAGATGCACAAGGTCTTGTCGAAGATTTGATTGACGTACTCAAGAGGTGAGTTTTGGCTTTCAACACACCCTTTCAATCTGTTCATCAGGTAGCATAGCTTCCAGTATCATATCAATCCATCCCAGACCTATTACTGACCTGAAACTTTCTAGTCATGATCCCTCCCCCTCCATCTTAACACGAGCTCTTCCTGAATCAATCCCGTCGACCGAACCTCACGCTAAAAGACAAAAGTCAGATGGCGCGACTGATTCACCAACTATTCTATCACGCGCGACAGCACATGAATATCTTACTATCGATGAAGTTCTCAAAGATGTTGATACTGCCGCATCCGACATCATAGAGAGGCTACAATTGACTGTTGGCTCAAATCAGAATCAGTACATACCTGTTCCGCCTGAGCAATCAGAGTTGGCTGTCAAGATTTTGGCCTTCAAAAAGAAAGCTCATGAGCTTGTGCGCAGAGAAAAGGCTACCACGGGATTACAGGAAAACGCGAATAGCAATCAAATAATCGATTCCAACAACTATTTATCAAACAGGAATTTTGGGTCCAATGCTAATGCGCCAGTCACTGCAACGTCGGAGGATAGCAAAGTGGTTCTTACACTCTACGGCAACGCCCCGCAACCGAAACAGTTATTCTCTAGTTTACAGGTTCCAATCAAGTATGACGGGGAATCGATTTCTCAGCCTCTTCGCGAAGCCGCCCTACCCAATGGTATCACGACAACCCAGATTGTTCCCTTGCAGCCCACGAGCTTTGATGATAATAAGAAACGTCCGCAGACTTTAGGAGAGCTTTTTCCAACACCTCCAAATATTCATCCCTTGAAGCCACCTAAAATTTCCAAGAGCTCTTTACCAACTTCAGTCGACGGGTGGCACCAACCATTTGTTGCCGATCCACGAAGTACTAGCTATTGGAAACAGCCACTCACTACTGGACATTGGCTTGATTATAGCAATACCTCGTCACTCAGCCCAGAAAGGAAACGCAATGGAGTTGCAGGTTCCAATGAAGATACCGAAGCAGCCATTGACTCGAGCGAAATCGATGCTGCTAAGTTGGATGCTTTGTTTCGGAGCGCGTATTCGGGATTCGCGCCGACCAAGGACGATTCCAAAGCTATCGCTCCAGAAAGTGTTCTGAGTAAGATCTGGTGGCAACGAGTCGGTGAAAAACGATGGGGAGACATAATTAATAGGGCTGAGGGGTTAGGCGATGGTTATCCTACGGAGCCAAGTACCAATAGCTTGGCTTTCAACGATGCGGAAATTGAGGAGCTCGAGCAAGCAGCGAAAGAATCGCCTGATGCTTTGATCGATCCCAGCTTAATGTCTACCAACTTAAACGAGGAAAAGATGGCAGAAGAAAAAGATGTTGAGGAAGTATTGCAGGGAATTTCGGAGTTGCTAGAGACTCTCAACTCATATCAAAGAAATCGACACGTTTCTTTCAATGCTACAGGTCGTCCTATTAGCGCGTTTGGGACAACAGAAACTAATTTCATGGGCACTCCCTCAAAGCCCAGCGATTCAGAAGTGACGACATATGAGATCCTCAAATCGCAACTAGCATTGATGGTTGCCATGTTGCCGCCATATGCCGTTGCAAAGTTGAATTCCGACCAATTGGCTGAACTTAGCATCAGTACAAAGATTGAAGTTCAATTGAGCGATCAAAAGGGTGTCATGGAGGAAGACGAGATAGCAGCTCGCGCAAAGGTCGCAGCAATGAGCGCAGCCTCAAACACACGACCCACCACCAGCTCTTCGTTGCACAGAAGCTCTTCTTCTGCTGCACTTTATGGCAATCAATACTCGTCTTCGCGACCAGCTCCAGCCCCCACTGGGCAACACTACGCTACTGCTCAAACACCAATCAGACCACCACCAAGTAATTTGCAACGTCCGCCTGCTCCTGCTCCCGTGCCCACTTCGTATGCACAGCGTGCTCCATCTGCTCCGTCGTATCGTCCGGCGGCTTATCCGGGGGCTGCATATCCACACCAGTTCCGAACGCCAGGTCCAGCAGCACCGCAATATGCTCAGACAAATGGCCAACAACAACAGTATCACCATAATACTCCCACTACCTCTTATACACGCCCTCCAACTCAACCCTTCCAAAGCATCCCACAATCTACACCTCAGACAGTGCGATACCCAAGTCAGCCACCATATGCTGCCCAGCAACAGCCAGTTCAAAATGGTGCTGCATATACTCAGGCTTATGGAAATGGAGCACATGTTGGTCAACAGAGCTCGCCTCAGAAGCCCGTGTATAATCAAGCAAATCAACACTCTCAATCTCAAGTCCGCCCTCCGTACTCAACAACCGCGCCTCCAATTTTACCGCCCAATGCCACTAGGCACATGCAAGGTCAGTTGACTCAACCACCGGTCATGAATGGCTCCTCTCAATCACCTCAACCTCAACCTCAGCCTCAACAGACTCTGCCGCCGCAATCACATCACCAAAATTCCTATAATAACATGAGTACTTTTTTAACTTCAGGCGAGCAACAGACTATAATTGATCGCCAGCGCGCCCAAATTGTTCAGCAGCAAGGAACCCAACATCAAGCAAGAAACACTGCTCAAGCAGGTGCCTTGGGATCACCACAGCCATCAATCAATGGCAACAGTGCCGTCGCGGCAGGGCTATGAAGAGTTCGATGCAATGGTGTTTAGGTTGGGAATTTATCGAGGCAGCCATGTCTGAATAATATTAGGATGGTCGCCCAAATTTTGGGAGGAGAGTGAGAATCAAGTCGGCCACTTTTCATTATGCTTTACGCGCAGAGTACTTTAATTTTCATGGATGGCGTTTATCGGGACTATTCAGTTACGGATGGGGCATGGATGGTAGGAAAGTCGAGGGAAGCGATCAGGAATGACTAGATAGATGGCCCATGATCAATACGTGTTCTTTTGGTGGCTATAGGGCTGCATCTACAGCAAGCCAGTTGTGCACTGGGAGATGAAATTAAAACGTGTAAGATTATAGATCTTCGATTATTCAAATTCGTCAAATAAATTAGTTTATTCATTTTTAATTGTGATTGCATTGGACGACTAGGTAGTTTACTTGTAATTATGCTATAAAGCCGCGAAGTCCCTGGAATCCTCAATACAGATACAGAGTCGAGTCTCGTTGGAATAAATGTACAATAATTGGAGTTCGACACCGGTTCCCCCTACCATTCCCATTCCGTGCCAATTCCTGCTCCTCCCCCTCCCCACCTCCCCAGCAATTTCACTGGCTGAGCTAAAAGTACAGTACAACAAGGCATTTGAACCTCAAGGAAGTTTTACAATCAGGCTCACATAAATTCAATGCATCGCTGTGAAATGATCAAGCACCAGAATAAACCGCGGTACAGCCTCTCCCACACTCAATTCTCTGCTCCACACTAACACTCCTTCCTCCAATCTTCACCGTCTTCCTTGGCGTAATCTGGAAGCGATGTTCTTCTCTCCTTCCTTTCTCTCTATCGGCCGCCAAATCCAGCGGCTGGATATAAATTGGCTGGCTGACGTTATTTCTCTTTCCAGTGCCTAGTTGATAGAATTCATTTCCGCCCCACCATAATACATCGGCACCCCAATTCGTATCATTTGAGCTAGATTTAGAGGTAGCGTTCAGATGGGTCACGTTGTTCATTACGGCGGAGGCATGAGTGCTTCCAATGGAGAGTCGGGAGAGCCGGATGGGGACTACTTTGTTCGCAACTTCGTCGTATTCGAAGAGGCCAGAGAGAGCTTTCATTTTCGAGGGAAGTCCTTGGACGTGTGTCCAGCGGCCGTTTCCGAGGGTGCCGTAGATTCCTTGTCCGCATGCCCAGGTGTCAGCTGTGATACGGCCTAGGTCTGCTGGGGGTTCTTCTTCTGATTGTCCGGCCACTCGGGTAGCGTCGACTGTAAAGAATGTATTGACACCCCCTGCGAAGACGCCGGTCACGCGAGGAAGCAGATTTGTGCCTTTGTAAAGTCTGTCAATGGGGACTAGCGAAGGTGCATCGATGTTAGATGCTTCAGAGTTGTATTCAAAGCCTAATTGGCCGACGGAATTATCGCCAAAGCTGAAAACTCGCCCTTGCGTATCAACTGCGAGAGAGTGATAGTCACCGGTAGCAATCTTTGCAATGTCAAATCCTTGAAGTGTACTTAACCAATGTGGTTGGTCGTATCTTCCAGGGGGACGTGACGTCCATGTTAAACCAGGAACACCGAGTTGTCCTTTCGAAGGATAATCTTCAGAGCCGGATGCTGCGGAGAAAACACGTCCTTTGGATGTGAGGAGAAGGCAATGCTCAAGACCGCTGCTAATATCCGTCACCTTTTCTCCCCAGACCATTTTATCCGGGTTCAAGGTTCGATACCCAATTGAAGATTTATTGCTCCAGAATGGAATCCATGAGCTCTCTTGTTGCTTCGGTTCTAATGCCTGATCTGCTTGTGATGCTGAAATCGAGTATACCGTGCCTTTTGACGAAAGTGCTATGATCCGGTCTTTTGATATAGATAGCTTGACAAGATCCTTTCCCTTCAATGTTGCTATAGGCCCCTTACAATCCGGTGAATATCCCGTACCCCATTGTAGCAGATCGCCGTTCTCAGTAATTGCTGCTGCGAAATTACGATCTAACTTGATATCTCGAATGAGCTTCCCGTCAAAGTATGGTATTCGTCTTGGAGTTTTGACATTGATCTCCTCAGAGTCGGGTGCAACAACACGACCCGTATTCGATCCCCATGCATATACTCCTGGGTTCTCCCAGCTTCTCTTCACTTGTAAATGCTGTGAGCTTATTCGGTCTCGATTCTCTTCTTTCGTGCTAGTATTCCTCCTCTTCTTCTCGAATTGTAGCTCGGCGGGTGTAGGGATCTCTTCTGCATGTAAAGCTCGTGGATAGCCGGTCGCATATAGACCTCCAGCGCATATTGTCAGTGATAATAACAACGCAGCTTTCCGTGAGTTTGAAGCTCTATTGGCAACGGCAACTTTCGAATCACTTGAACCTCCAATATATCTCCTCTGGAATGCAATTGAGTGATTGGTATGTCGATTTGCTCGTTGAACAATCGTACCACATTTTGGTATAACTTTACTTGACAACATCATTGATTTCCGATGCCTATATCAATAATTGAGAAGACAGGCTTTGTATGTTTACGACAAAAACATTTGTTAGACTCGCCACTACCCCTCATACCACAAAGTTCTCCTCAGCCTTGTCCGTTTCCATCCCATGACGAATTGACTTTCCTGGTCCAACTGATTGAATGTCAGGTTAGTGGTCCGTGCCTAGCCCCATGGGTAACCGGTGTTTCGAATACTCATGACACTTCAGCCTTACTCGACATCTTGGAATTTTGGTGTAAGGTACCGGTAAAATGTACGAAGATGCGTGGTACAGTTTTGTACCGGAAACAAATACCAAAAAGGATCATGTCACCTCGCAGGCATCGCAACATCGTCGCAAAGAATCTCTTTTGCAGCAAACTAATGTAAGCCCCCTTAGTACTCTGATAAGTGCCTCTAGTTAATGGTGTACATAGGGTAACAACCAAATGTTGGACCAGAACTCTCCAATGCTAGGAATATATGAGGATGAACCTGTATCGAAAGACCCTCCGAAAGCTACATTGGCACGAAGAGCAAAATCATATAGCGATTTCTACGAAGTAGCTATGGCATATATAAGCAAAGGCACGAATGAGGGAAAGACACAAAACGAGCGCGATGTCGAAGGAGGGGAATCTAGCACTCCCCTTTTCGAGGAGCGGTACAGTGCGCTTGAGGATGAGCTTGTGGATGGAAGCCTCGAGGAATACCAGTATGCCAAATATAAGCGACGAGCATCGAACCAATACGCTAACCCTCTGAAGATTATATCTAGATCAATTAGTTCTATCCGAGCGTCATCTCGACACTCTTTTAAGTGATACCACAAGCGCATTGGATACACTTGCAAGTCTTTCCGAATCGTTCAAAAATGTCGAAGCACAAACCACAGCCTTTCAAGCTCAATGTGAAGATCTTTTGGAAGAACAAAAACGTATACGTGAATTGGCAGATGAAGTTGGAACGGATTTGCAGTACTATGCTTATCTTGAACCTCTGACTCGACGCTTGAATGCTCCAGGTGCTGGAAGGCTGGTCAAAAACGGTGACTTCTTGGATATGTTAGAAAATCTCAACTCTTGTATTGAGTTTATGGATCAACATGTAGGTCTTGCCTTTCTTATGTCCATATCTCAGAAATCTCGATACTCGGCGGTTCCTTCGTGTAGACTAGTAGAAACACCTTCTATGCATGCTACTTGTATTTCAATACGTTGTTAAATCAATGAGCTGTTTCACAACAAATTACGAGGCTCGTCTGTCTTGAAATAGACCTTGGATTATTTGTGACTAATTATTTACAGCCAAACTATAAAGACTCGACTGTGTATAAGACTCGCTACACAACACTTTTAGATAAAGCACTCAACCTCGTTCAAATTGCTTTCTCAAATTCTATGCGTGAAGTGTCAGATGACGCCTCAAAACAATTGAAAGCCAAAGAACAAACGGAGACAAATCAATACATTCTTCTTTATGGCAAATACGAATCTGCCAGGGAGAATTTAGGCCTTTCAATTGAACGACTTTTGACGACTGATGAATTTGCGTTTGGGAGAAGAGGAGATGTGGACCGAACACCGTATATCCAACAATGGCATAACCTATACCAGCAATTGCTTGAGTCCTACATAAGATCTCGTGATCCTGTTGGACCTCTTGTTCTCAAAAATCTTCAAAATTTCTCAACTACTTCACCTCTCCCTGACAAAGAGTTTGAATTATTCGCTAGACGATCCGTGCAATATGTTTTTGATACATGTCAGAATGAGTTGAAATTGGCAGCAAAATTCTTTCAGAATGGACCTCTTATGGCAGATTATCCTCCACCTCCCATTCCGTGGAACATGCCTCATTCATACCTCGAGAAACTAGAGGAGAGTTGTCTGTCGCATGTGAAGATACTCCATAGCTTCTTAACCCCATATTTGAGCAATGGTGACTTGCATCGAGTTTGCGACTTGGTTACTTGGTTGGGGGACACTTTTATTTCAGCAGAGGCGCATGAAGATGAGAGTTGTGATGGACAAAGATTGGCTGCGCAGGTCTTGTTGGGCGTTTATCTTTGGCCATTAGCTGATCAGCTTTTCATCATGGAAGCAAAAAAACTTGAGCACTTCAAGCCATCTCCGGAAGATCTCAGGATCATATCGCCAAATGCTCCGAAGTTATCCAATGAGAAAGCCATTCCAACTAGTGGCTTGCGAGTCGATACGGCCCTTAAGCCTCTTGAAGAAAGCACATCCGTTGAGAGTGGTCTTTCAAATGCCTTTCCGACGGTCAAGACGGCGGTCAGTTTACTCGTTTTATACAACGAAAGCATGCATGAGAGAACAGTAAGTCACACTGCTTCGGAGATAAACGTAACTGCACTAACATTCTTATACAGCTCAAGAAAGGTGATGTTCTTTACGAAATCGTGCATCAAACTACCGAATCTCTGCAGAGAGCCGCAACAATCATAAAGCGAAGTTCGAATAACATAATGGATGCACAGCTATTCCTCATCAAAAACCTGATGCTCATCGAGAACCTATTTATGACCCACGAAATCCCAGACTCAATCCGTCAATCCGCCGAACTCGACTTCACTCCTCTTTGGGAGACGCTCAAGGAACTTCAATCCCGTCACCAAGTGTTTAATCCACTTGCATATATCAGACCGATGATCAAAGGTCAACTACTTCCTGCTGTGGTTGATAAGTTACTAGATGCTAGGAAGGAATTGGAAAAGGTCTTGGTACAGCAAATTACAGCTTTCACCAAACATTGGCAAGCGAGGTTGTTGGAGAAGGATCCTAGGAAGACAGATCAGGTGTTGAAAGCTGAGCAAGAATTGGATGTTTTGTTGGAGAGAGTTTTTGACGAGGAGACTACACGGGCCGCGTTATTGAGAATGATTAGAGGAGGAGAGGAGTATTAGGAGTCGGGGTTGAATGGCTCTCATTGTTGCTTTCTGATGTTTAGCAGGAGATTGTAACTTGATACCAATATCCAAGTTATCGTCTATCTCATCCAGGTCGCAGAGCAGTTCTTGGAATTCATAAAATACCATTCTTAATCACTCATCATCAATTTAATCCCTGATCTTTTGCCTTTGATATTTTCTCACATCTCAAAAGCATACTATGTATCTTTTCACCATCGAAGAATGTTCCCCGTACACTCGTTGCCAAGCATATCATACTCATCGTTATGACTTGCCAATATGTAACGTATCTCAGACTCCTCCCTACATAATCTTTATTCGTTCCTCAGAGATAGAAAAACAGCATTACTTTAATAGTACTAAACACATGGCCTGTCTTCCTTTCCATCTTCATCTCCTTGCCGCAACTACAGTGAAACAAAAAGCTGCCTAACATCTCATAACTGAGCTCCACCCATCATCAATCAGGCATATTCAATACATAAAAATCTACCCCCGGTGAGTACCCAATTCGCTTCCTCCCTATCGACAGTTCCGAATGAGTTCATACACACAACGGAAGTAACCCCCCCCCCCCTTTTGTCTCTCATACAGAACAGCAAAGAATACCACATCTGACCCCTTCAATATATCTGACTAGCTGTATAAGACTAAAACACATCAATAAAACTCATACTATGCCATCGCCAGCCTGACAAGTGCGCATGGATATTCGCTCCATCGGGAGTAAATTAGTGGACAGCAGGATGTTGTGCCCTCACGAACCGCGATCATTCCCAGCTTTTTGCGTTCTTCCTACGCACTGGTAGATCCCCAAGGTCTAGATAGTCAGTCCATTAAATCTCAAGTATATCATACGTCAAGCTCTCAACCTGCTTTCTTGAAATATTTCTATATCAATCGCTGTCAGTTTTGTGAGGAGGAGATGCACACTCATCCAATTCTAGGCCAAGTGCAAACCGGACAAAGAAGTCTTGTACTCAGATGCGATGTACTAATACCACACCTATATGAAGCGCTCACCGATAAAATCAAGATAGATCGTATGAATCTCATAAGAATGTTATATTATTTCTTTGTAAGTAATAACTTAACGACTTTTGCCCAGCTCCTCTTGGGTATGTACAATTTGAGGATTTGAGATCCTCGCGATCAATTTCTTCCACGCCAAAATACGCCAGTCAAACCCAAATACAATTAATCTGTTCGTACACCCCGATGTCACAAACGCCACTCTTTATCATAGTGCCTTCGTCCTCCCAATTTTAAGGGTTTATACTTCATTATACCTTGTTCCCCGAGTTTCTCTTACGCACCATTTAACTGTTTATAGAGTGCCTCTGTTCCCTTTTGCAAGTCCTCCGTCCAGGCTTTAATATACTTAACTTGGGTATCGAGTATAGCTTGTTTTCTAGCCTCTGCCTCAGCTTTCGTACGCTTCGATCTTTCACTAGCCTCGATTTCCAACTCAATTTCACGGATTTTGCGTTTCTTCTCAACTTCCTCCTTACGTCTTACTTTGTTGGCTAGATACTTCAAACTATGTCCCAAAACTTGTGCTTCTTCCGAAATTAGATTTGATTCAAGTGGAGGAGAGGTATAGAAAATGACCCGGCCAAATTCATCCGTGTGAAATTGTGATCGAACGTCAGGTGGAATGGCAGAATTTGCTGCATCTGGAAGTGTGTATACTTCAATTGCACGTGGTGGATTATATGCGTTCCCGTGTGAACCATGTGTATTTGAGCCAGAGCCACCAACACGTGGTGTACTACTACTATGATAACTTTGGTAGCTGGCTAATGGATTGGAGTGGTGATGAGTGGCGGTGGTGGGAGTGGAGGAAGTATGATGGTTATATGAAGTTGCTGGCTGGTATGTCGGAGTTGGTGGTACAGCTTGCGTGCTTCCGTGAGAGCTATATGAATGAGCGTGCTGAGGAGGCGCTGGAGATGCAGATGGCCGAGCTTGTGCAAAGGATTGCGTATATGCCGGTTGGGCTGAATGCTGATTGATCATGGGTGAGGCAGTAGCGCTTGGAGTTGTTCCACCCATTGATATATCTCCCTGTGAGTCAAATCGAGGTCTTTCGCTTGTAGGAGGTGGACGACTGCGCTCTGGATTTGGTACGGGAGATGCGGCAGGTGGGGTGGGCGATGGTGGTGGAGAGTCCTTTATAGTGTTAGAATATATAGATTAACACATCTCATGAAAGAGAACTTACATTTTCGGCACGAGGTAGCTTATGCACAGCTCCGACGATAGGAGGCGCCCCATCTACGCCCTTGGTGGGTTTTGGAGTCTCGTCATGTTCTGTAGCATCATCGCGGAGCAGATGTTTGATCGGGCTCGGAAACTTTTTCATCGGCCTTGGAGTGTCAAAGAGATCCATTTCATAATCTTTCTCCCTCACTTCATCTGGTACGCAGCTAGCCCAGGTCTTGATTTTGTTGAGCTTGAATACAGTTTCATTGTAACGCGCCTCACAAACATAGATTTCCTTATCCGCGGGAAAGTTGCGGGGACGTCCTTTGAAGTATCTTGTGAAGAACATGACAAAGCAACGGTCAACAACATCATCAATCTTATGATCGATATAGCGACCAGTCTTAACAACCTCATTTTCGTAGAAATGTTTATCGTAGCGATGAACTGTTTGCTCTGGCCGTAAGTACCAACAAGCATTAATCCAGTCCTGTCCTGCAATATCCCGCCAGGTTCGATAAATCTGCCCAACCACCGGCTTTGTAACATCGTTAAGGTTGGTTATATGAATCCAGTCTCCAACCTTCCACATTTCGCCTTTGTAAAGGATTTCTTTCAGAGGTATTCGTCCATCCTCAGAAGCAAAGTCTTCATCCGGTCTGTTCTTCTCTTGTTCAGCTAGGGCTCTAGCTTCATTCTGAAGGAACACTGCATCATTATAAACTTCACTATCCTCCTCATTGAATGCCTTGGCATTCTCAAACATAAGCTCTATGTCCTTCAGAACCTCGCCCACGGTTTCGTACTTCTTGCGCTTTGCCTGCCTCTTAATCAGATCCATTGCCATAGGGGTTTTAACTTCCTGGTAATATTCTGGCATGTTTGTTTTATCGGGCAATCTTTCGAATGGTGCAATTTTAAGCTCTCCCCTAGGGTTTTTGAATTTTCTCAATCCCTTCAGAATATTATTTATGCGGGCCTCCATGGGAGTATGCACCTTAGGTGGTCTACCGCGCTTTTTCTGCACTTCGGGCTCTTTTGTTGCTTCATCTGCACCACCATCGCGCCTGTTCACGCTCGAACGTCGAATTTTGCGTTTGTATTTTCTCTTCGCACCCTCATCATCGGTATCGTCCTCTTCGTCATCCTCTTCGTCGTCTTCGTCGTCTTCCTCCTGTTCTTCGTCTTCAGGGCCAGGTGGTGGTGAATCTTCGACGGGTGGGAGCTCTCCTAAATACGGCATCTCTGCTTCCTCCGCGGTAATAACATTTCCATCTACCAATTGTTGCATTTCCTTTTTGAATAACTCTCTAAGCGCAATGGCGTCATGATAGGCAGCTGCAGACGGACGGTTGTAAACTTGCGCATTATGAGATATGAGGGCAAAGTCGCGGACAAATTCTTTGAAGCTCTTGTACTGCTTCTTGAGGATTTTTTGCTATCAGCGTGTAAGTTAGCTGCACTCGCGCGCAATTGATAGGTAAGAATGACATACTCTGACGGTGCTGAATGCGGTAGGTTCCTTGATCACCTCGAAGTAATCTGGTAGAAACCTCTTGTTGAGCATGCGCTGAAAAAGCTGTGAGATATCGTAACCGCTAGATTCATGTTAGCATCCCTAGAAAAACAAATGCGCAAACCACAATGAACATACTCTTCCGTGCGATATTCCGTTAATTTGTGTACGACTTCATTCATAACAATATATCCATCCTTTGTAACACCGTCGACTGTCGCAAGGGAACCTACAGGTTCTGGCGCATTTCCCGTTGTTTTTATCTCTGGCTTTGCAGCTACTGCTTCTGGCTCTGGTTCGGGTTGGGGTTGGGGTTCGGGTTCAGGCTCTGCGACTGGCGCATCGGTCATTTCAACATCATTGGAAGTCTTGGGCTCTTCTGTCTTGACGTTTGATTCATCTTGAATCGGGGCCGGTACAGGTGAATCCATCTTTTTTATTGAATCTAGCAACTATATCGCGGGGTTGTGTTGCTAAGGATTTGGTCGCTTTTTGAGGGAGCTCGAGTAATCGCGTTGGAGCGCGATCCCCACAAGCAACGGAAACTGGTCGGTCGGGCAAAGGATATGGCCACGTGACTCTTGGGACATTCAAGCCGAAGTGAACAGCGAACAGCCGGAAGGGGTGGACATCATTCACTTATCTTGCCACAACATTCTTCTTCAGACTGAATACGGTTCTAAACGCTTCTAGACGATAATTATTAATAAATATATAAGATTCACGGATTTACAACAATATTAAATTGTTATCTTTCATACATGTTTCAAGGTATCATTGTCCATATAAACCATATACCGAATCGCTTTCGACGTCACCCACGTGCCAATACCAACCCAGATATCAAAGATGCCGCGAATGCGAGTTCGAGGACCCGAAGGGACATCCACCATAACTCTTCCCGACGATGCCAGAATCAGTGATCTCATATCTGAAATAACCTCAAAGACCTCTCTCACAAATTTCGATATTAAATATGGTTATCCGCCAAAACCGCTTCTCCTTTCTCAAAGCGAGCCTTCATTACCTCTGAGCAAGTTAGACATCAAGTTAAATGGCGAACAACTTACGATCAGCTCAAGAGAGGAACGTAAATCTGTGGGATCACCAAAATCGACTTCACCTTCTAATTCTAAGACCTCATCTATCCCCCCTCAAGTAAAAGATAGACAAACAGCAGAGGCGAAGTCATTTTCTTTTTCTGGTATGCATGGTGATGCGAAAAACACATCGAATTCTACAGCTCCTGTGTCACTTTCGCGTAAGAGAGGTATCGCCGGAGATGTACCTGAAATTCCAATTCCCGAACTTCAGGCTACACTTGGTTAGTCTTTCATCCAAGATTCTTATTCACTTCACTAACGTTTTCCAGTTCTCCGTGTCATGCCAGACGATAACTCATGTCTTTTCCGAGCTTTTGGAACGGCAGTTCTTCCTGGTGATGATCTTTCTATGCATGAGCTTCGATCCGTCGTAGCTTCTACCATCCAAGGCAACCCCGAACTTTATAGCAAAGTTGTATTAGAACAAGAACCTGATGACTACTGTCGCTGGATTCAAACCTCTGATGCTTGGGGTGGAGCGATCGAGATGGGTATTTTGGCCGAGGCCTTTGGTATAGAGGTCGTTTGTGTCGATGTTCAAGTACGTCATGCCCTTTTCAGTCATAGTCGACATTTCCATTCCCCACAAGAACCCTACTCCAATATAGCCCTCAATCATGATCTCACAGACTAACAATACCCAGTCCCTCTCCATCCACAAATTCCACGAATCTGGCTCCAACAATAGATGTGTTCTGGTCTATTCTGGAATCCATTATGACATGCTTGCTCTTTCTCCCTTCTCCTCAACTCCCGAAAACGACGTTCGAGTTTTCGATAAGTCTGACGATACCATAATTGCTAAAGCAGTAGAACTATGCTCAAAATTGAGAGACAAGCATTATTATACTGATACAGGAGGGATGGCTATCAAGTGTAAAGATTGTGGTGTGATTATTCATGGGGAAGCTCAAGCGGCAGCTCATGCGCAGCAGTTGGGTCATTACAATATGGCTGAGGTTGATACCTGAATTTGACGTTGTGGTTATGTTCATGATGACGAATTGGTCGGGTTTGATGAGAGCGAATGATAAACTAAATACACGGACGGATTTGTTGAGCTCGAACAACTCATAAATATCGGCTACATACCGCAGAGCCAATCGGCTAGCAACTCGACAACTAAAAGTCCACACCAAGAAGGGGGGGGGGGGGGGTGATCTGGATAACTCTAGCTAGATCGTGATGGATAGAATATTGACAAAGGTTGGAAACGCGATAGATTTGAAGATAGAAGACATGATAGACATATAGCCTACCTACCTACCTATCTAGTATATACACGATCCCAGAGCTCATACCAATAACATTTACTCCCTCGCTACCCTTCACATAATCAAGTTCTACCTATCATCTTCTCTCCACCTTAATATAGCAGTGACAAATTCGTCGATAGAGATACATCATGAAAACATACCTACGTATCACTCCAACCTGTAATCAATTTGTTTATCACGAACAAATGCGAGCATAAACACTGTGCCTTCGGACAACTTTCTCCCACCTCCAACTTTCAAGATGTGACTACATCCGAGAAATGGCAGGATGAGACTCAATAGTGAATCCAATACATATTTATATCAGGGAAAAAGGATCAAAGGACGAAGAACGAGATCATGCAGTAGAATGGATAGTTCTACAACGCTCGGGGTTTGGATTCGTCAAATTTTAAAGTCTTGGAGGTAGTTTGTAAAAAACTTTATTCCCTCGAGCATCGTGCTGCTCTCTGGCTCATAATCTACGTACTTGGACTGGAGGAAGATAGGCACTTGAAGACATGGGTAAATTCTCATATACAAGAAATCTCTATGTGATTTCTAAATCTCGTTCATCGATATAATGCTAATGCGTGTATGCCACGCCATGCTATACCATATCATGATCGCTCTAGCTCTCCGAAAATAGCTCAGATAAATAGACATACAGCATGGCTCTAATCATCTCATGAACTCATCAGGCTACTAAATGCACCAACTATTCTCATTCCTTCAGCCATCTAAGAAATAGCTCTCATAGTCATTTCCACCACGGCAAAAGTACCCGCACTAACCGGCATGGCCCTCAACAAGGTAGGGAAAATGCCTTTCCAGAATCCTCTTGCACCTTCTGCTCTCCACGTCTTTGCAAAACAGTCTCTCATACCATTGTACTTCACATCTTTACCGAACCCATCACTTTGCATTTTGCTCTTCACAACATCAAACGGATAACTAGCCAACCATAAAGCTTCTCCGGCTAGACCACCATAGAAAGCAATTTTCCAGCTCGGAATGTCTTTGCGTTCGATTTGGTTGCGGGCTGCGTCGCTATTCATCATGTATTCGAAAGAAAGGAACCACACGCCATAAGCCTGCGCTTCTCGAATAATGGTAACGGCCTCACCGCGATAGAGACCCTTGAGAACGCCTTCATGGGCCGACAATTTGCGAACACAATCCACAGGACCATTGTAGAGTTTTCCTGCACCGTGAGGCTGCGTTTGTAATCTAATTCTTACGTGCTCAATGGGACCCGAGATACCAGAGTTGGCGATACCGGCGAAGGCACCTGCCGCATAGTATTGTGCATAGGAAAGACCCGGAGAAAGAGGATTGCGGGAAGTGTTGTAGTTTTCCAGGTAACGACGAGCTTGGTGAAAAGCTCCAAACTGGACAGAAACACAGGCTCCAATACCGATTAAAGGCGTGAGAGTACCTTTGTAGAAGGCAAGAGCACCTTCATTGCGATATATGGTTTGAGCGGCTTCAAGAGCATTTGCATACTGTGTAGTGGTTTGGAGACGAACTTTGACTATATCAAAGGGTTGACCTGGGGAAGAGGTTAGATCATCTTCCTGTGATATGCTCGTTGTGTTGTTTCCATTTTATAAACAAGTAAAAAAGTAGATCCAGGCTTGGCATTTAAAGCTATGGAATATTCGCCAAAAGCCATTGGCAAATCCACAGACCATTGCCATCACTCGAAGACAATTCCACTTCTCAACATATCTCGTCACCTCCACGTGATCATCCCAACCAATCCAAAAATATCCAAAAAGCATCCCAGTATGAAAACAACATCTTACTTACCCAATAGAACCTGAGCTACACCCCCAGCAGCCCCGGCAAACAAGTCCTTCAATGTTCTCTTGAAGCCCCCCTCTTCCAGTTCCGCTGCTACGTCCGCCATTTTGTTTAATCTGTTCCTTTCCACACGTTCCCTGACACTTCTTCAACTTCTGCTTCTCAAATTGATAATTAAATTAATTTGTGAATTGACGATCAGATAGAGAGGATAAAATCCAGTCAAAGATCTAAATCCTAAATTGGATTGGTGAGCAAATAAATTTTCAAAAGAATCGTTGGCCTTTTGAAGTCATCTGTTATCTACAAAGAAAAACACACCAATTCGCGCTTGTCATCAGAGTCGTAAGCCAGCCAGTGATGATGTGCTTTTCGCTTAGATAACTTTGATTAGGTGTATACATGCCTAGATATTGAGGCCTTAGTGTGCAAACTTCAACATAAGGCATCTAAAATAGCTTCGAATAGGGGCTTGTACATGTTTGGTGTTGAGCACAATTTGAGAAATCACATGTCAATCTCAAATTTACAATCGGAAGTTGCTTTGCTCACAATCTTAAATATCTCTTCAGTCTATCATTTAATATACAAATTAAAACCTTCAATTGACGCCGTGAGGTGTCAAGAGAAGAGGAACCAAATGACGCCTAGGCAACATGAAATGACTATCAAGGAATGAATGACATATTAATACCCGATCAATTTTCGAATGAGGATGCCTTCATCCAGACAGCCAGAAATCTACCGCAGAAAAATGCTAATGATATCATCTACAACATGATCATACCCGCACCTGCCATTCCAGCAACCACGATATAGGCACCCAATTGCAACAATCCCAAGTCGAAACGTGGGACGATAGTAGCACCGGCAGCACTCTTCTTAGTAGAGGTGGATGTACCAGATGAGCTACTTGAAGATCCAGTACCAGTTGGTGCGCTGGTAACAGTTCCAGTTCCTGCGGTTCCAGCTTGGCTAATAAGACTTGAGCAGGTTGAGCTCTTGGCGCCAGTTTGAGTCTTAGCGTTACCGCTGAAGTCACATGCAGTAGCTGCTTTGCCGTTATTTTGATAGTATTGGTCAAATACGAAAGACAATTGTTGAGCGCTTGTGCACATGGAGTAGGCACCGTAAGTTCCAGTGGTAGCATTCTTCGAGATACCATCACAGGCAGCGCTGTCCAAACCACAGACATAGTCGAAGAGATTGGCACTGGAGTTGCCGGAGATACCGCTGTTGGCGACACAGGACAAAGACTTAACCATGCATTCGCAAAGCTCGGCGTTTGCGATAGGAGGAAGGTTGCTGGAGGCAGCCCAAGCGGTACCAGTTGCTGGGCATGCTTGTGCTACTGTGTTGGTGACAGTGTAGGAGGCAGAGTTGGTGAAGCTAGGGGTGGCAGAGGCCAATTGCTTGGACAGAGCAGTGAAGTCAGAGAGCTTGCTAACGGAGTCTCCTGAAACCGAGACGAGACCTAAAGTTTTGTCAGCTTGTGCTTCGAAAAAGCTTGTAAGTCATATCTTACCATAGTCATTTGCCTCTTGGAAGTACATGTAGACGATTCCACCAGACCAGACTTCAGTCATCTTGTCGCCATAGATTGCCCCGACTTCAGTGAATTCACGGGGTTGGACAGTGTTGCAACCGTACTCGGCAAAGAATGCAGGGACGGAGTAGTTGGCGAATTCGAGAGTTCTTTGATCATATCCGGACTTAGTGTAGGAAGAATCACCACACCACGAGTAGATGTTGTAACCCCAGAAATCGATGGCAGAATCAGCATCACCACAGTTGAAATAGTGAGCCAAATCAATTCGAATGTTGGCATCATCGTTGGTAGCATAACCAACACCGATAGTGCGGTAGCCCTTAGTCTTAATGTAAGCCTTCATGTCACGGACGGCAGCTTTAACGAAAGCACTGGCATTAGTGTTGTTGCGATCGTTGGAGACTTCGTTACCGGCAAAGAAACCGAGGACGTTTGTGTAGTTGGCCATGGCACTAAAATTTAAATGTTAGCACACGGAGGACATGATGAAGAATTGATGATCCCTCCCTCTTCACAATGCAAGTGAAAGGCCAGAAAGATGCATATGACGATGGGTAACAAGTACAAGATATACATACTCGACAACGCCGGCATAGGTAGCGAAGAGATCGGTGTTCCATTCTGGGTCGTTTCGATTGATAGAGGATGAGGGGTTAGACAAATCTTGGATAAGATAGATTCCGGCATCGTTAAGCAATCCCATACAGACGGAGTGGTCTAACGAGGAGTTGATAGCGTAGACACGGATGACATTGGTGCCAAGCTCTTGAAGGATAGGAATGTCACGTCTGCACCCAGCTTCATCTGCAAGGGGATCGGTAAAAGTAGCGTCGGAAGTAGTGTTTGCGTTAACGTCTTGTTGGTATGCTACACCACGAATGAAGAATTCGGTGCCGTTCTCGTAGAAGAAGTGGGAGCCCTAATGTATGAATCAGTATTTAAAGTGACTTCCAACAACGTTGGATGGACCAATCCATGACATACCTTAATGACGATAGAAGGGAGATCAGCAGCGGCAGCAGACGATGCGAAAAAAGCACTGGTCAATGCCGCAGCCGCAGCTGAAGCAAAGCCAAAGGTCTTCATGATGCTAATTGAATACCAATGTGTGTATGTTATAATGTTGTTTTTGTTGACGATAGATAGATGCGAGAAGCCGTATAGTGATGAGATAAAAAACCAATCCCAATCAGAGTGCTAGCTAAAGATATTTCCGTCTCAGGTGAGTTTTGGAATAGGGAAGAACGAGTGTGGTGATGTAATCTCTCCTTCTCTAACAACGACTTGCACGGCAGACGTCCTAGTTAATAAGAAAAAAGAAATATGTTTGAACGAATGACTGTCTTCCTAACTAGAGTGA